AAAAAAAAATACCTGAACTTGAAATCTCATCAACAAGTATACTCATTTAAAAGCTTAAATCCCAGGACACATTTCAAAACACTTGTTCACCTATTAACTATCAACACTTTCCCTTCTCACCTTCACTAAAAGTGTCAGCTGCTCAGTGACCGGTATGCATTTATACCAAGTAGCTATGCCATATACTTAGATGTCTTGATTTAAATGTCAAGCATTTAAGCCTTTTGGAATAACTGTTTCTTTGATTTTCTTAAAAAAAAAAAAGTCCATCACAGTATTCAGATTTACTCCAGTTTGTGACACATACATAACTAAATAAACCTTTACATATCATTTCTTAGTAAATTGCTATTTCAAAAATTATGAATTTAAAAAAAAAACCCACAAAAGTATAACCCCAGACATGAGCACACTCATCCTTCTATATTTGGACTTACAGTACAGCAGACAATCAGACTAGCTCAGTGTCAATCTGCAAACCTTAAGGGGGTTCACCAAACAAAATAGCCCCCACACTTTCAGCAGCATCTCTTTCCAGAGACAACAGGCACTGTGCGTTTGGGAAATATCTGACACATAGCTTGTTGTGATCTCGCCAAGATTTGAGTACAAGAGGATGTGAAGTTGCCAAGATTCTTGCAGCTTACAATAGCTGTTGGTTGTTTTGCACCTCGTGAAGTGATTTGGCTGTGGAAACTGTACTACCACCTGCTTTATTATAAAGCAGCATCAACTGAATCCAAAGAAAAAGCTCTGTTCAAAGCGGAATACTACTACTGAGCACCTATTCATCTGTCCTTATATTATGAGGTTAGTTAATTGAAATGTAGCTGCCTAATTTGGGTTCTTGAAAGCTATCCTGGCACAGGCTTATTTAAGGACTGAGCAGGATGAGTGGATCTTTTTAAATCAGACAGCAGAAATAGGCCGCTGCATGGAATGTTAACTGAAGCTAACATAGCCGCTGTGTCACACCGTCTCTGGTGATTTCGTGAGGCTGGAACAGAGCAATGTGTTATGTGTAGCGTACAGGCGACGGTACCCACCGCTTTCCATCTCGCTGCCCTTCCTGGCCGTGGGCGCGTTGCCCATGATGACAACCTGTCAACGGGCGATCCGTGGCTTTTTGGCCGCCCTGCAGCCTTCTCAAGCCGATCTAATCTCGATTAGGTCTGTTCGGTATTTTCTAAATCCAAAAGCACCAAGCGTTAACTCCGAGGTCTTGGTCTTTAATAGCCTGGCAGCTGCTGATGCGGTGCCAGGGCGAGACGAGATGGTAAAGCGGGCTCACTCACTCCTCAGTCATCAGCAACCGGCGACCGATATATAGTTCAAATCCACGGGGAGGATACCTTTGAGGTATCTCGGTCGTTGGGGCTTCACTGGACCGTAAGGCCGAGCTCGGCGCAGATGGCCTGAACACGGAGGATCCAGTCTTCGCCTGTCCCTCCTTGCAGCCCCCGCCGAACGAGCCCCCCCGGCTCCCCACCTCTCCCCAGCCTAAAGAAAAACGACACCAGAGGCGGGGACGCGATATTCTCAGCCCAAGAGCCGCCACTTTTTGTTACCAAACCCAGCTTTTAAAAATTAAACCTCGGCGGGGTCCGACGACGACGGGAATTCACCCAAATCAACATTGGCCCCCCGTAGCCTCGGAGACGAGCGAGATGACGGAACTACAGTCGACTGAACGTCCCGCCTACTAGCCAGAACCGGTTTTTGATTGACAGCTGCAACCAGCCCGCGGATTGGCAACCTATGTATGCCGGTATCCCACGGAAGGCACTGATTGGCTCTTCGCAATCCATCAAGCGCGGCACCATCCTACCACCCTACACAAAGCGAGTGAGGGGAACGTCACCGATTATTTTCCTCCCGACGACATACCCGCCCACTTTTCCTGGTTTCCGTCCTCCATTGGCTCGATGAGGGCGAACCGTGGGAATCTCGGCGAATGTGAAGATGTCCATTGGCTCTGAGTAACGATTGGCAGGTAGAAAAAAAACCCCATCTTCAGCCCCCCACTCCCACCGCCACCAAGCGACTGATACACGTTTGGCCAAGTGACGTCAACCGCGAGCTATTTTTAGAAATGTTGGTCAGAATTTAACGCACGCGCGGCGCGGTCGGGCTGGCAGGACTTCTAAACATTTCGCAGACCGCTGTGCGTTAAATGATGAGTGTATTTAGTGAGAAATAATATTAGGAAACAAGACTGTCTTTCTAAACACTCAGAGAGATACCGTCTCTCTGAATGTTTTACAGTCACCGAAACCCTCCAACAGCCTCCTTCAACACAGCACATCCACCCAGCACCTGGAACACCTGCAGGCTTAGCCTAGCATATGACCGAGAGTCCTTTTATGAACGGGACCTTCAAAAGGCTCGGTTTCACATGGATTTGCATCTGAATATCTAATTTCAATAACAATTTAACCATGCGTTGGTAATTAACAAAAAAAACCCCAAAAAACTCATGGTATGAAAAAACATCCATTCTATGAATACGAGATCTCTCAGCTGCTGCAGGGTTTGACACCATCATTTGGGCTCACACGACACCACCACGGTTATGTAAAACGGACTCAAAAACCAAATCACTAATTCTGCTTATACTTGGTTGTAACTTACATATCACAGCCCCCCCACTGTACAGGGTGCTGTTAAAGGACAATTGAAGCTGCATATGGGTTTTACTGCTAAATATGAATATATGAAAATAAACTGGTCAACTGTGCAGACATGTGAGAAGTAGACAGATGGATGGATGGGGGAGTTGGTCCCTTCAACTAAGATAAAATGTGCAAGAGAGCACAGACAGGCCCCCCTTCCTTTTGTGCAGCAGTTGCCTAGCAACATGAGGCTAGAGTGAAAATGGTGGTGCTGCATTTTATGAATGAAATCGGAAAACAGAAAGGAGCCAGAGATGGGAGGGCGAGGAGCGAGCCAACGTGCGGAGTCTCTCTGCTTTTGCAGTGCTTCCTTCCACAAAAGTCAAGGTGGAAAGCAGCCGTATGTAACATGTTCTGATTAACAGGAAACACAAGGTCAACAAAAAAAACAAACTTTATTAACCCCATCAAATGTTGTTACAAATACTGAAGCTGAGAATATATAGTAAGTACAAAATGAAAACATGCCTTCTTGTTTTGAAGACAAAATAAGAACAGGGAAAACATTATTTACAGTAAGCCTAAATCATCCACACACACACACACACACACACACACACAATGCAATTTGGCATCCATCATTACCTACATGTTTTGCTCATATAGGCATTTTATGTAACAGTAGGTGAACTGTTGCCTATTCACAGAAGCAGGTTTACCGAGTAATCTAGATAACCCTGGGGCAAAACATGTTAATGTGAATAAAGCCACTTGATGCCACAATATCATAAACATGGCCCATAATTTAAACCCAATTCCCTCCCCCCAGTAAGTGTCACAAGAGACAAATCTTACAAAGAATGAAGTGCTCTACTACAAGCAGCTAGGTGCTATATCCTTCCCATCGCATAGCACTAGTTGATCTGTGCAGAAAAGGCCAAAATGAACAGCATGGGTATCAGAATCTTGAGTTTTTCCCCACACCTTTCAGGTCTGTTGAAGCGACCCGGCCCAGCACTGATGATCTGCACTTCTTTCAACCAGGCATGAAATATAATCTTATACAGAAATACAATAAATTAAGGCAAATCTGACTGTGCACACCTGTGTGTGTGTGTGTGTGTGTTGAAAGGAAGTGCGTAAAGAGGATGAACCAAAGGTGGTAACCATTCCAGACCAATCCCATTTTTGAGTGCTTCATAAAAAGATAATGTCTATGCTGTGGTGTCCTGTGCTTTCTGTTAAAGTCCACATGTTATACAGAAACATCCATGGCCTCCTTGTATAAATGTGTTTGCAATGTGGGTGTGTATAGATAAGAAGGGCTCCTTATCCATTGCATTAATCTGATGCCTCTTACATGCAGTCCATGGAGTTATCTGGCATCACTCCTAGATGTGGCATCTTTCCTGGTATACAGGATGGAGGGAGCATGCCACTGATGTTGGGGGACGGGTCAACATTCTCACTGTCTTCCATCTTGTCTGCCAAGCCCTCCCAGTTGATATGAAAACGGGTGACACGAGGATTCGAGGCCAAAATATTCCTCTGGAGCTGCAATGATGAGAACTTGTTAGAAATAGGGGTGGACTGCTAATGTTTTTACATGAGGACATAATTAGATTACTAATTATGGAGCCCAAAAGTTAGTTATGACAGCCATCCTTAGGAGTGCACATTTCCCCTCAAAACTTGGGATAGCTTTGAATTAAATACAATGAATAGTTGGTTTTACGTTGGATTTGTAGAAGGAAAAGACTAGTGTAAAGAGAATGAAGCACAAGATAATGATTTTAATGCTAATGTTAAAGTAGATACTGGTACAAGAAAGCATAAAATACCACCTGAACTAATGCATTCTTTTAAAACAATGCAAGACCAAATAAAACAAAAAGACAGTGCTAAACAATCCCCAGGTAATTCTACTGTTATTTCGTACACAATGCTACAGTTATCTGTAATTGTACATTTCTGGGCACAAGAGGGCAGCAGAGAGCCATTTATAGTACTTTTCCACAAATATGGCCCATATTCTACACTTAATATCACCTAATGCTGATGTAATCTAGTCATATCTGAATAAAATAAATTAGCACCATGGGTACACTTCAGTGATTGATTACAGTAAATGCAGACAGCTGGAAACAGCTTTCCTCAGTATTATTCATGATGGTCATTTGTGTACTTGTGTATGTTACCTGAGAGTAATCTGGTTTGAGAGGTGGGTTTTCTCGCAGTTCAGGGTCCGTGTATTCATTGTTGACATAGTAACCGATGCGGATGAACTCCTGTCCACGGTAAGTGCAGGTTATAAGGACTACGGTCACTCCTACAGCATCGCTTTCTGGAATCAGCCCTGTGTTAGGAGCGTCAGCCTGATGGGGTAAATGAGCACAGAGAAGAAATCAGATGAAATCTAA